AGGCAAAACTATGTCAAGAGAACTTACTGTACACTACAGTGCCTGACAATTTAGGCTCGCACCTTTCTTAAGGCATTAATACAAAATGGCCCAAATGATGTACAACTAGTATTGAAACAGTTTTATTTCATTTGATGTTCCTTGATATCAAATAAATATTTTAATTTATTTGATTAATTTTGTTTATCTTGGTAGCGAACAGTTATTTCATTTTGCAATATTTTTATTATTAGTATCACTTATATCAAAAGGAGGACATACAATCATAACAAAATACTGAAGTAGATAATGTGCTATTAATAATTATACGAGATAAACCTGTACCAGTCTTGATGAGTGGTCATACCCTCAAAGAGGTTCCTTGTCTCGAATGCCTACAGGGACACTCCTGATCTCAAATGGAACATGTATATTCTTGCTATTGCAAAAGATTCTGGAAGAATGGTTGGTTCACTGTATTGCTTCAGGTAATACCTAATCCCCACCACCATGCTCTATCTTTATAAGAGTCAGATCAGACCAAGAAGGGAGTATTGCTGCCATTTCTGGGCTGGTGCTACACAATCCTAATGGTCTGGTCTTGACAGTGTTTAAAAGAACTTATGCAGCCTTGTGGTTGATAAATTATTCTCCACCATGCAACCCTTATCCCACAGACAAAATGTCAATCTTTCATAATTATATTGTTATTACTATGGTAGACATTTGAACAAGTTACATTCCTTAGTGCCACCAGCTCGGACCTTCAAAGCATCACTATTCTCTTTGTATTCTGTTGATAAACAGTAAGTTCCACTCAAACAGCTTCTTCCTTAAAACTTATTTTGTGGGACAAAGTTCCAAGAGACTGCTTCCCTGACAAGTACAATCTCACTCACTCACTTTAAGTCGAGTCTCAAGTGATATCTATCCTACTCGTCCTTGTAATACTTTTACTTCTCCCTTCCCCTTCATTTACAATATCACACAGTAACACTCTACCTTCTGTGGCCCTTGGACTTTGTATTGGGTGAACAGTAAATAAAAAAAGAGAAAGAACATTTTCATTACAAAGGAAAGAATACTACTACAATAATAATTCATATTACTGTGTCTACAAAAAAACTGACTCCACTTAACTTTCTATTTAAATCCAACCTCTAAGGAATCTATTTTGTAACAATTTGAAAACAGCTTGAATAATAAAAATCTAAGTAAAATGCTATGCAGTAAAAAATGTTAGATAAAGTGCAAGTAACATATATGCTTAAGTTCCTTGTCACAAGATTTGAAGATTGATAGAATGCCACAACTACTTATCATTTTGCGTATAGTGTGTAGGAACAAAAAGGTTGATTTGAAAGTGGAGAAAATAATCATAAATCACATAAGAATAAGAAAGAAAAAAGATTTATTCTTTAAAAGCACAAACTACAAAGCTAAAGTAAAAAAAAATAAATGACTAAGAACTGATAAAACTTCGAAAGAAATAGTAAAGACATTTTTAAAACTAAAAGCTTCATACAAACTGTATTGAGTTTTCAGTTTTTCTTGTGATAAAAGCAGAAATCAAAATTAACAGAATGATGAATCCAATGACAGTTTTAATTATTTGATTGATTTTTTTGATTTTTTACAGCTTATCAACCTTTTTCAGGTTATTTAAAGTCAGAAAATATTTTTAGATCATAAGAATTTGTTGGAGATAATAATGATTAATTGATACAAGTTCTATTAACAAATGGCTGGAGGGAGAAAAGGTGGAATCATACTTTTCCCAATGGTATTTGCATGTAAGTGAATATAATGAACTCAACTGGAATTGTAACACAGCACTTCAATTTCCAATTCTGAGCTGTTATCAATTACACCACCTGCACATCGAAGCACCCAGTGAGAGTTTTAGGATACTTTTTGAAACAAGTGAAAAAGAATGAGCATTTTCATCCTACACTTGAAATTCAAATAAAATTTATTATATTTTATATCACATCCTTTTATAATGATGCACAGTTTATTAATAAATGACTGATATTTTAGAAAATGCATTATTAAACATTATTTGAACCAGTATTGCTTTTTGCTTCTTTTCTATTCATTGCTTGTACAGACAAGGAACAAAAAAATTTATTAAATTTCTGGCAATTTACACTATTTACATTGTTTGGACTATTGTCTTCATCTTTATTGTCATATTCACATTTCAGATGTTATATGCTTTGGCCTTCTTCAGGTGATATGTTGGAATTTCAAACTGAACCCTTTATTTTGTCAACTGGGATAAACAGTTCTAGTTCCACATGCCATGCCTTTTTCTAGATATCTCAGTTTCAGTTATCTCCCTTTAATAACTCAACTCTCCAAGTTTTTGTTCACCTCTGCTGTGGCCAGGTATTGAACTCACAACTCTTTGGGTCAAGTCACTGGATTACCTCAACCAATGCTTTTATCCACTGGACCGTGTCTCCTGAAAATTGTCGGAGTGTACAACAGCTAAAACATTGTGAATATGGCAATAAAGATGAGGACAACAGTCCAAACACTGTAAATAGTTGTGGTGAACAATTACGTAGAAGTAAGCAAGTCAGAGTGGCTTGCATCTGGTGCAGAGGAAAATAAGTTCCTTACCTCAATACATGACATGTAGCAGTGGCATTTTGTTCCTTGAAAATGGTATTAATCTACCCCATACACACACACACTTTAGATTATTCTGGAAGTGTATATTTTGTAATGTTGGCTTTTATACAGCTTAACATTGTTCAACCAATAGCAAATCGTATGCTGATTGGTCGAACTGGAGGATGCTATTTGACTGTGTAACTGAAGACAATGCGAAGAACGCTAATTGTTCAGTCAGCTGTCGTGTTGGCATGATAAAAGTGGGCTGAAACAGTGAGAAGTAGAGTGATTTTTACGTTGGTGATGTATGTAGGAATTCAAGAACGGTGTATTAAAAAGAAGCATACGGTGTTGTACAAGCGATGTCAGAGGAATATAACCTCATTTAACTAAAAGCTATTTGGGCCATACTCCCAATCATGGTGAACAGAGGTTTCAATATTTGGTTAATATCTGAATTCAGTGGGACCGCTACCAATTGTAGAATGGATTGAGAATGTGAAGTCACTTTGTGAACTCTGCAAGATGAAGAAAATTGAGTGGATACTGCCACTGTGCTTGCAAGCCAGGGCTCTCGCTGTGTACTGGCAGCTGACTAAGGAGCAGAGGTCAGATGCAGAGCAGATTAAGCAAGCCCTTATAACTGCATATATGGTGGATTCATCTAATGTGTTTAATCAATTTATGTCACAAGGATTTCACCCAGGGAAAACCATAGACAAATTTTTAGCAGAGTTAAAACGTTCAGCTCTGCTGGTTGGATTCAATTGCCTGAGTGATGGATGACGTTCACATTCATTTCTGGACTGCCACAACAAGTCAAGCATCTTCTTCAGGCATCATCCAGAATGGACACCATGACTTTGGACCAGCTTTTGACTTGGGCTGTTATGACCACTAACAAGGAGCTTGACAAGTCAGTCGCTACATCCACTCAACAAACACATAATGATGCTGCCACATGGAAGGGAGGCATAATTTGTTTTAAGTGTTCTGGTCCCAACCACCCGGCAAAGGATTGCAGACAAGGCTACTCAGAGAGGACAGCCACGCGGGCAAAAAGATCCCATCCCGAGATACAGTGTTTTCAGTGTAAAAGGGTCGGGCACATTTCATCAGTGCCAGGGAAACAGCTCCAGGGAACAGATGTCAGTGCCAGTCTTCTCCCTAAGCAAATAAAGAACAAGGTGCTGCCTATTATCAAGGTGTCTGTAGATGGAAAGAAGTGTATGGTTGTGGTTGACTCTGACTACTTGCAGACACTGGTAAGCAAATGCACATGCCACCATTGGTGACCAATGGAGACAAAAGTCCTAATGGCCAACAGTAAGGTCCTAATATGACATGGACATGGCAATATTATGCTGAACATTGGTTGAACCAAGCTGTATAAAAGCCAATGTTACAGAATATACACGTCAGGTATAATCTAAAGTGTGGCGGTGGGGGGGCGTATCATGGCATTTTCAAGGAACAAAACATTGCTGCTATGTGTCATGTATTGAGATAAGGAACTTATTTTCTGACTTGTTTACTTCTATGTAATTGTTCACCAGACTCCCACCTGATCTCCTGATCACAAAAAATACAGTCGGGAGCAGGTCTTTTTTGCCAGATACTCCTCCAAAGTGGAACAATATGAGCTTCATCCTCAGATGAACTGCCACCAAAGGAGCTAGCAGGTCATAACACAATAGTATTTTGGCTGCCAATAGTTGGGGAGTTGTCTTGTGAGGTTGTTTCAACTTCAGAGGATTCATTATCAGGGAAGTTATCAGGTTCTCCGAATGGTGTTGATCTCAAATTTACTAACTGCTCACTCTCTCTTAATTGGGAGATTTAGAATTTTTCTCAATATGCAATAATCTTTAATAGAAGGTGGGACTAGAAATTCATTTAAAGGGTCAAAAAGTGTGAAATTAATAAACAGGGTTGTCATAATAAGTTGAGGAGGATGAGAAAATAAGAGAAATAAATATCTCCCACTTCTAAAAATACCTTTTAATATTTCTGAGATTTTTTGCAGGACTAATTGATCTAATATTTATTTTCATATTTAATTCAATAACAAGATATGCATGTAAGAAATCATATAAAGCTTCAAGAAATATTGAATATCTTATTTTTGGCTGTCAGTTTGAAAATGTTTTTATATGAAATCAATTTGGAATATCTTTATATTTGAATAAGTCATATAAATGCAGACACAGCTTTTAAAATCTCTGGATTACATTCAAATGCTTCTGTTTGTTTTTGACACCATTCATTTTAGTTTTGCATTAATTGTCATCATGGTTACTTATTTTTCTTGATCTAGTGTGGTTTATGAAGAACATTGAATGAGAGGCTTTTTAACAGAATATATAAAAATGACAAATCACCAAAAGAAATCAATTTACCTCATATTCATTCTCGATTTGTATCTTTTGACTTTTTAACCGGTGACGGGCTCGAAACTCTGCCATTCTTTTTCGGTTCTTTTCTCGTCTTATCTCTTTTTCCATCTGACTTTCTCGGGCACGAGCTAACTGTTTTCTCAGTCGGTCTCTTTTCCGTCTCATTTCTATAGAAGCTAAGGTATTTCTCCGATGTCTAATGCTCATGCAGTTAGCTTCCTCTGTAACCATACCAGATGTAGGCATGAGAGCATTAATATTTTTATCAGCTACTTGATCAGTCTTCACATGGTTTTCTCTTATACTTCTTGTTGGCTGATTCTGATTGGGTGGCAACAATGAAGTTTCAAAAGTCTGATTGGCTGCTCGAGTTTGAATATTTGGGGATTGATAAACATGGAGGGTGTCACTATTGAAAGATTTGTTTGCAACAGTTACTTCCAAAGACATTTTGTTTTTGTCTCTTCTAATGGTAGGAGATATAGCAGTCAGGTTAGCATTAGTCTTTGTCAACATTTGAATTTCTGGAAGCATCGTCTGCTTTCCACAACCGTTAGTTGATACACTTTCATCTAAGATGTGCACATTTGGTGAAGCTTGCTTCTTATTTTGTAGTCTCTTGGTTTTTTTATCAAAAGTAGTAGACTCCAAAAGAGGCTGATAAAATGTAGCTTCTCCAATTGTTGCACACTCTGACTTTTTATCGTCATCATCACCAACATCCAGTGTAATTGGTACAGTCTGAGAAGTTTCAGTTTTCTTTTCAACTTGAAGTTCAACAGGGTTCAAATCTTGCAGGTGTAAAAATGGCAGATTTTCAGACTGCAGTTGCATCTCCTGTGTCAGTAAGAGATTTTCAGATGCACATTCTTGCAGGGGTTTGTCTTTGCTAAATCTAGGATTTGCCTGAGGAAGAGAATCTGGTATGCCTTCTTGGGAAGTAAAAGTCATTCTGTTCAATCTGTTGGCTTCTGCAATCACTTCTGGATTAATAGGATTTTCCTGAACACATTGCAAGTTTCTTTTTTGCATTGCTTTTCTTGCACGGGCAGCTGCCATACGACGACGGTTCTTTTCCCGTCGAATAGCACTGGCAAGGGGTGTCTCTTTAGCCCGTAGGATCCTTTTACGAATACGATCCTTTGTGCGTCGGATCTCCATTTTGGATGCCATCTTAGAATGTTTGGCACCAGTACTGGAGTCTATAAATAAGTCTTTTGATAGATTTTGTTCCAATTGTTCATGTTGCAGGAAATTTGGCTCCCAGTTGCCATATAGCCAAATATCAGTGTTGACCAGATAGTCATGGCTCTTAAAACCATTCATTTTGGGATTACTATACTTGACCCTCCTTATTTATTTTAAACATTTAAAATTTTTTAATGTTCTTTTTCAAGTATCTTCTCATCTGTTGCCGTATTTCTAAAGAAAAACAAAAAAAAATAAATAAAAAAATAAAGGAAATATAATTGAAGCAAAAAATGATTGAATTAATGAAAAGGTCTATTATTCTATTGCAAAAATTATTTCATAAAATAAAGTAAGCACTTTTATAGATAAACAACATATTAAAATTATTGTTGTGATAAGCAATCATATATATGTATGTTGGGTGTGATAATTAAAGAATATATTTAATGTTTAAACATGTGTATAACCTTTTGAAAAATTGAATATATTAACTTAGTTTCTCTTTCATAATTGTCTCCCCCTTGAACTATTCAACTATAAAAAATGGTTGAACCTCACTTATTAGAAGTAGTCAAATTGCATTGGCTAGATCTTTACTACAAGCATTATCTTTTTTTTCTTTACACACTCATAATAATAGCTGGTTACTCATTTCTGAGTACATCGGTTTGCTCGGATGGTTAGCGAATGCCTGGTGCAGATGTCGACTCAAGCACATTACTTTTTTTTCAATACTCACTCAAAGTCAATATGTGGCTTACACTGCAACAATGCCGAGCAGACCTTACTTACAGTTTCTCAGAGACTGTACAGATGTGGCATGATCAACATCTGAAAAAAGCCAGTACACTCAAACCCTTGGTTACAATGACTTGTAACTTTGTCCTAGCACAATCATCAGATTTCACTCACAAGGCTTGGGTCAACTTGTGGTATAACTTTCAGGCACTTACCAAAGGCGCTGCATACTGGGATCACCTCCTGAAGTCAATAACATCAAGAAGTCACTTCCTTATAAAATCGACCATAGTGGAATTCGAACCAAGATTTCATGTAACACATACATACATTCATTAGCACTTTTTCCAAGGATCACAGTGCATTCTGAAAAATGTTTAATTTTTCAACATTAATCTCCTTCCTTGTCAATGCACTTAATTCTGTGGTGAATATTAATGACATAAATTGAGCTTTATACAGTGAAAATTTCAGAACTAAATTAAACTAATGACGAGAGAGACTACGAACTTATTGAAGCACTTTTTTTTACATATGACGGAGATATATAAAAAAATAGAACAGAATTAAAGAAGCTAAATTATCTCCCTTGCATTAACTAAACTTGGTAAAACTGTTTTACCGTAAAACAAGTTTCAAATTTATTCACTTTAGTTTAAAATATACAGTACTGATTTAGTTTTTTTAACCGAATGTACACCTTTGTATCTTTGTTTGAAATTATCAGTTTTTGCCGTTAGCAAATATTTTAACAAAAATCGATATTTGTAATAATTTTTAAATAAAAATTGTGTAAAAAAAAAAAAAAACGCTTTAAAAATTAATCGGACATTAATGCTTTTTTTTTTTTTTTTGCTGATAAAAATTTAATAAACAGTTACACTTTTAAAATGTAATGTTCATAAAATTTGACTGTTTACTTTAAAGTCCTTCTTTCATCATTCAATATGAATTGCATCCTGCTCTGAAAACAAATTTTATATCTGATTTTCTCTTAAATAAAAAAAGCACTCGCCCCATTAAGTGAAAAGAAAACCTTGTCATAAACTTAAACAGTTTCATTACTTTCATTAATTCTTTAAATTGTTACACTACACAGTTTCTCTTGTATAATAGACAAGTCACAAATTAAATTATCTCTAAGTTGTGTTTCAAAAAACCTTGTTTTGAAAGAGAAAAAAAAATTACAATTGTTTATCAATCTACTTGAAGTTGGAAAAAGTACATAAACTATATAAAAACTTTATTCTTTATCAATATTACAAAGTTATTTAGTGCAATATTCATTGATTCCCATACTAAAAGTAAAAAAGTCATATTTTTAAAACTAAAACATTTACTAAGATTTTAATTAAATTTATTTATTGATAACAATTTTTAAGTACAATAAACTGGGGTATTTTAATTTTTTTAATTATTTTTATTTAACACTTAAAATGTTATTTTCATAATGAGAGTATTCGTCTGTTTTATGAATCTTTCTGTATGCATAGAGATCAATTACAGAAAGTTATGAGGTGATTTTTTTGTTGTAATGTAGCTCTTACGAGTAAAAGTGATTGTTAAAAAAAGCAATTATGATGAATAGTTATCTGAGTGTGAAAGCAGTTATTTTTTTCGACAATGCTTAAGCCTTAGTGTTATTATTTTCTGTAAACTTTTATCATTAGAGATCTGATAACAGTTTGAATAATTTTAATTTAAAATTTTTTAAAAATTAGTTGAAGTTTATTTTTTACTTCGTGTGGCTTAAATCACAAATGTAACAATGGAAATAGAAAAATAATTTTAATCAGCTCGAATTAACTTTGCAATTTGGTTACCACTGACCGGTCTTACAATAAGAAAATTGTGGTAAAACATCTACAAATAAAAAAAGTAAAACAAAGACCAACCAACAAAGAAACAGAAGATTGATACAGACAGCACCTCCACCTTCTAATCAAGAAATTCACTTGAAATATTAACATAAATTAATCTTTCCCTTGATTTTTACATGAATTATTAATTTCAGAATCCGGTAAATGACTCTGGTTGCTGTTTTTATAAAAGAAAGACAACAAAACATTTTTCAAAATTCTTTTACGAACATTATTGAATTTTCAACATCCAACACTTTTTTTCTTTTTTTTTGTCTATGGTATGTATTGTACAATAAATTGTATAAAGTAATTTACGGGGGTTCAATTTTTTACTGTTTCAATAGTTAAAGAAAAATGTTTTTAAAAAGTTAATTAGTGAAATAATCTTTTCATTTTTTTTTTTTTTTTTTTTACTGTTTCATGTACAATTCTGCTTTTAAATGAGAAGAGGAGAAATGCAAAAAAAACAATACCAATATGAAAAAGTAATCACCGAGGCGTTAAAAAACTAAGATGAGAATGATACTGAAAATTCTGAGATTTTCCGTTCCTAAAGTTACGTTGAAAAGTGAAAGTCTGTTTTACTAGTGTTTGATTATAGAAATGATGTATTGACATAACATACGTTAACTTAAATAATGTATCAAGGAGAGAGTAAACAATGAAAAAACTTCCGCAGTCCGTTTCCCTTTTTAATTTATTTTAAACAAATGAAATTAAGGCGTTCAAAGGGGTTTGAGTAAAGAGCTTAGAAACCCGATCGTCTACTCTTATGCTTGACACTTGACTGTCATCTACATGCTGTGAGTAATTAGTTATGATAACTCAGTCATATAGTTTGAAAAATCAAACACTGATAATTAAAATTTGTGTTTTTCGAAGCAACCAGTTTTTGTTCTGTTTTTTTTTTTTTTTGTGTGTGTGTGTGTGTGGAAACATCCACTATGAGTTTTTAAACTATTTTTTCAAACAATAAACAATCTCACCTGATTGTTGTTTATGTAAAAACCAGGTACAAAAAACACGATAACAAAAACAATGGGATGTAGAAAACTGCATACATTCAATTTAGCTTCGAATAAAAAATTCAGGTTAAAGAAACATAAATATTTAGAAAATTTTGTTATATTAAAGTAGTAAACTAATGAAAATTTTTAATTGTTTGGAGAAAAATACAGTTTTTCGACATGCGCGTTCAAATTAGCTTCACTGCGCATGTCGCGAAAGCATACTAAGCGGTAACCAACGTAAACACGTTCTCATTGAAAGTTAAACCAGCAACTTGATTTTTTGATTAAAAGTTACTTTTGACACTGTTATCATTCTGGTAGATATACACGTCGTACTAGAGTGATTAGTGTGCTAGCTATCAAT